TATACTGGATATCTAAACGTCAAAAAAATTCTTACACAATTTAAGTACAATCCTGAGTCCAGCATGTGCCCTCCAAGCCCCTATCTTTTACTCCTCACAAAAATATTAATTGCTGTAAAGGAGAAACCTCAGACATACTGTGCTACAGCATATTCTGAAAGCGATGTAAATCAATGTAGGTTCTCAAAAACTCCAAAGAACTTTTAGAAAATTTAAAATCAGATTTTTTTTTCAAAAGTCAAAACGTATGCTTTGTCTCCTCGCGATAGATTAAAAACTATGCCTTTTGATATCATATAGACAACTGTTTCTTCAATAAAAATGAAACTTGGGAATTTTCACATCTTGTGATTGGTCATCAACAAAATTATTTTGTTAAAAATCATTCTGATTCTACACACAAGTACACTGAAGATATGAAAAAGATGCTGGAGTTCCTCACTGACAACGTCTATATAGTCTTTGGAAACCAGATCTTCCAACAAACTTTTGAATTTCTGAAAGGGAACTAATTGTGCTCCTTTATTAGCCGACCTGTTTTTATATTCCTTCTATTCAAAAATCTCCGCATGAGAAGAAGAAAAACACTTGTTGTGGCCTTTCAACTCGACTTTCAAATATATCGACGTTTTATCAATTACAATAGTTACTTTCATTATGTGTCGACTCAATATATCACAGTGAACTCGAAATAAAAGACACTACCGGGATGTTTTACTGACTATAGACGATAAGGGCCAACTAACAACTAACATGTATGGCAAACGGGATGACTTCAGCTTTTCTATTGACTACTTTCCTTATATTCAAGTAGTAATATTCCTCTATGGTGTTAATGTCTGCCAACTTATTCGACACTCAAGAGCATTGCTCTGGGTACGATCAATTTTTAAACGAAGGCAAGCTACTGACAGATAAGTTAATGTTACAGGTATTTCAACAACCTGGTTTAAAGCCAGTATTTTGTAAATTCCATGGTCGTTATAATGACTTTGTTAGCAATTATAACTTATCATCGGGTTGTATTTTGACTGACATATTTCATACCAATTCTAAGGCCTTTGTTTTTATACCAAATTTAACTACGGAAAATTCCGTCTATCTATTCAATACATAGGGCCACGGCGGGTGTGACCGGTCGACAGGGGATGCTTATTTCTCTTAGGCACCTGATCCTACCTCTGGAATTTTCGGGGGGGGGGTCGTTTTTTTTATGCCCTATTCACAGATTTGTATTTATTTTTTCAAAGATCGCCACTGTTCGTTGTCTTCAACTTTTTCATATACATGTATTGGTAAAATTATTGAGGAGCACACGTTTCCAAAATAAGACCACAAGAATTTAAAGCATGGTTTCTCTTTCAAATATGTTTTTTTTAACGTACACCAGCTAGGTTGCATGTTTAAGAAATTACACTGTGCACCACATGCTTTATTATTTTTATAGGACTCGCGGGCCCGTTGGAACTGCGGAGGGGGCTATCCCTATAATTTTGCCAATTAATATAGACTATTTAGCTAGTGTACAAAAGATTTTTTTTTCAAGGAAAAAAATATCTGTTCGGTTTCACCCCGCCCCCCTCAAATTGCTTTCTACGGTTAAGGGCCCTGTTTTACAATATAACTTAAAGATATAAAACAAAAATATGTTTTATATACGAATAACTTTCTACTTTTAAATAATTTTAGTTGAAAAAAAGTGTAGGTAATCTATATATTTTTTTAAGACTCGGGGAAAAAATTTAGAGAACAATTTTTAAAAATATAAAAAGGAAGGCAAAATGTAATAAAACGCTAAAATTATTGGTTTCAGTCGTAAGTTCTTTTGTAAAACGGGTCCCCAAACTGTCTCGACAATTTTTTCCCCTGCGTTGGAACTCTTTTGAAATGAAAAGAAGTTTCCGTCGTTGAGAAAGGGGATTCACTCAGTTCAAGCTACAGAAAATTTACCATGAAAAGAAAGGTACGTTAGGTAAATTAATTCAGTTTTCACACACTGTAGTCACTGGTAACTTCACAAATATTGTTTACAACAGGCCCGTAGGAAGCAATTTCACTTTGAGGGGGCACAACCATACATTTTCAGTTGGGGGACACTATCAACTACCAAAATTCCTTGACAAGCCAAAAAAAAAGGAAAAAAAAGTTCATCAGATGTTATTATTGAGGGGGCACAAACACATAGTAGCTATATTTTCTATAGTATTCTATATATCGGCAAAATTATTGGGGGGCACGGCCCCCCCGTCCCCCCCCCCCCGGTTCCTACGGCCATGTACAATCGTATTCAGGCTAATAACATCTTCATTCCCGAATCAATGAGCTGAACTTTAGTGTATAATAGATGGTTTTCCATCAAGGTGATTTAAGCAAGAGTTATTTCCCATGGCCGCCATATTGTAGGTCAACATCCCCAGATCAGATCCCTTCATTATTCAACCAAGTTCAATTTGTTATACTGGGCACTGAGGTAGAGATAACACTGGTTTTCTTATGAATATACATTTGTTAAAGTTTCTTATAATTCATAGTTTCAATATTGTAAATATTTTTTACCATATATTTTCGGCATGCTTTTTTAAAACTGGTTGCTCAAAGAGGAAAATTCATTACATTGACCTACAAGATGGCGGCCAGGGGGAATAACTCCAAGGAAAAATATGTCATTGGAAAACCATGTATAGAGGGATTATACGTCTCTGGACTATATTAGAGATGAAACACGTCATAACTTAATGTATTACCAAAACAATGTAATAGCAAAAGCGTTGTCAGATCTTTATATCAGACACATACCAGGGACACATGCTTTTTTTGCCTTTCCTTTCATTTGCTAAAGTGTATTTGTAATCTGTTCACAATCAGATGTATACATGTACAGATCATAAGCTTCTAGGTTCGAAAGATACATCATAGTATATGTATTGATTTTTAATTTCGTGATACCAGATTTTATTACATTTATTACTTTAATGTAAATATTCCTTTCAGTTTACATCCTTATTTGCTCATCAGATCAAACAATACAGGATAACTTTGTGTAAATAATAAATATCGCGCATATATTTGGTCAGATAAAATCCTCTTGCACATTCATCAGAAGAAAGGAAAAAAACAACAGTGGACTTTTCTCAGAATAACTTTTTTTTTAAGGACATTGGCAAGGTTCCTGGTTATTGTATAGAATTTTTCAAGAACTTTTGAGTAGGTTTAAATGTACTAAACAGGCTATATTCTGGATCGTTTTACCTACCAATCCATCATTCTTTTTTAGATTTTGTCAAATTAGAGTTTTCACAATTCTTAATGCATTTCCTATGTGAAATGTTGATAAAAGGGACCTACATAATTTTTCACCATAATATTTCTTCAAAACCCATTTATTTCATACAGCTTTTGTATTATATACATTATTGTATCTTCATTTCCTATGACTTCTAGATATTTTGGCTAAAAATGTATATTTAGAAACAAGACATGGATATACCGGCACCGATCATTATTTTTGAGTTGCGCCCCTTAACAGCTAAAATTGGTCAAGAGACTGGTTGATTGTTTTATCATGTAATTGACTGAATTGAAACACATTGTCATAGAAATATTGTCATGGATTTTTTTAAAACTTTTATTCGTAGTTACTAAATGCCGATTCCTTCACATGACCTAAGAACTGTTCTCAGTCGGCATGGTCGACCTACCTTTCAGCATATGTCACATCTTTGCCCTTTCCAGCAAACTGAGCATAACTATGGTAAATAATGACCTGTTGGCTCTTTGTCCCTGAATACAATGTACAACAAAGCCATTACAGCTTTTCTTTCTTGCTGTATAGATGATTCTACCCGTTGAAGGAGGTACAAGTGCTTATGTTTACCTCTGTGACATACGCTTTATTGGTTTTCACCGCTTAGAGAATTCTACACGGGAGATCACTCTCAATCACTAGTTTATAAGCGAAAAAACCCATGTATTAAACCTTTTTTCTCCGGAAAACCCTGACTTGCCAATGTCCTTAATTTGATATCAAAATTTAATTCTCTGCAGTTACAATGAATAGGGGATGTTTTTATTCTCTTGTTCATGAGCTTATATGTAACTTTTTATATGTGATCTTATTTTGAGTCGTAAAGGAAGACACAAGTTCTTTTCTTCTTCTGATGACCACTGCCTACTGACAGAAACTGGTAGACATACATCGACAGCAAAAATTTTACAATTTATGTCATGCTGTTGATGACGAATTCCCTTTTACAATGTAACTTTAAAATACAAGCAAAGAATATACTAATAAAAACCATGTTAGATAATTGTTCTTCATTCTGTCTTAAATCCCCATACAGAAACTTGAATGTATACTTAGTCCAACTTCTGAAGTTATATCGCCTAAACAAACACTAGAATCAAGAAATTAAAGCTCTACGTCGGTGTAACATGTAATTATACATTCATTGTTCTCTGTTTTTATATTATTATTGAATTGTGTTGCTTGACCCATATGGATGTGTTATGCAATACATGCAAAGATTATTTTTAAAAAAGGATTATTTTAATGTAACTGATGACAATGCGGATCCAGGGATCCGTGTTATCCCCAAGTACAATCTATATATATATATATATATATATAAGTAGATGAAACAGGAAATGTGATAAGAACAGTTACATGATAATAATAATAAAAATCCGGAGAGAGAGAGAGAGACAGAGAGAGAGAGAGAGAGAGATTAAAATGAATATGAGAAATCGTAATTTGTAAACGAATTTACGGAAATAAAATAAAATTGCATTTAACGACCGCAATTCTGATCTGTTTTATTCACTAGTTAATAGAAGAACCGCGGACATGTGTATTTAAATCAGCCGGCTTCCAGCATGTACATGTATATTCGATACTAGATTAGGCCTAAATATATGCATACTATTTGTTTAAGGTATTTTAAAGTCCATATGACGATAGGCACAAGTGTACAGTATACCAGAGGGAGGGCTTAACACAGTGCGTGTTTTCATTTAATATTCTCTAGGTTTTTATAGGTCGGAACAGGAAATACATCGACGCCTCGCCAGTAAGCAGTGTATAACCGTCAAATCGAAATGACTGTGAAATCATCATGTTGACTGTGTTTGGAAACAATATCGGATTTTTCATTCACCATAATCAGGTCAGTGCATGTCCATTGGATTGCTAAATAATTGAATAAAAGTAAACCATTATTGTCGTGACAATGTAGGTGGAGCGTGACCGGTAATAATTAAATATTTTCATGGACTCCATTTCGGGTGGAAAAAAAGAAACATTTCGCTAAGGATCGATGGATTTTATCGACCAGCTAGATGACAAGAAAGACAGTGTACATAATGTAACAGAATATAAACACAGTGCCAGAGTATGATTGAGGATTTGATTCGAGAGAAATGAGAAGAGTACAACGCTGGATATATATTGTGGTGGGTGTATATACATTATGTACCATCCTCATATGGCGTTCTGAAAATGAGGGAATTATTTATGCACCAATAGAAGAAACTGAAAGTCAGAAAGCATCACCGACTCGTGAGCAGCACGAGGTTAAACCCAATTTTAACAAGGCCCCTAATATTGTCAAACCATTGCCCCCCAAAATAGACACTGCAGGAAGTCGAGGTTCAAAATGCCCAGGACTTGAACCCCCTACTAATATTCTAAGGGACTATTGGCAATCAGCGAATGGAAACAATGTGTATGTCTACTCAGCGTATTTCGAGCCCAGTCGAAACCAAGTGGTGGTGATCGGGGCACGGAACAAGAACTCCGGCTCCCCCTTACGGTGTCAACTCTGGGGGGAAGATGGACGACTGGAGGTTACAACAGCCTCCCAGAGAGACATGCCAGAGGGGAAAGGCAAAAGGTACGTATACATACCATGTGTCGACTGGATATTAAAAAACTATGTTAAAAAACTTCAATCTTTATGTGAACGTGACTGAGGTAACAGGAAGTCAAACACTATATACACACACACATTAAACGTGTGAAATATATATATATCCCTTTATTTTAATACAAATTTGATAGTTATTTTGAAGACGAGGTATTCAGTGAACTTTACACACATTTTCAATGTGTTTAGGGAAAAGATCTATTGAAGGATAATTTTATATCAAACCTTTCAAAATTATTTGCAATATGTCAGAAATATATGTAAACTACGTATATTATCGTATCAATAACAAAATCTTTTCCTCTTTTTCCGAAGTCGTATTCATGTGTTACTGAGAATTGATACACACACATTCTTGAATTAAGACTTGAATTATAGAACTATAAAAAACACCCGGAGCATCATTTATAACTTGACCTATCCGGTATAGATTTAATCTATTAATTTTACTTATTTGATCTTTTACTGAAAGTTGAACATATGAACAGCTTCATGTACCTTCCTTTATTTCTTCACTTTTGAGTCTTTCATATATTTCTTATCTGATAAACATCAAACAATATACCGTATGCAGACATTTCTTATGTGGCGTTAGGTCAAACTGTTTCACAATGTCATGCGGTAAATCTCAAGTTTCATTCCGGAAAAGTCTAAAAGAAAAAAAAAGGTGAGCAATTTGTAAACACAGTTGAAAGTTGATAGGTTATAAATTCAAATAATCACTATTAGCCAGGGGCACCTTATTAACGTTTTATATTAATAACGCTTATTACATGCATCTACATGTATACAAAAGGTCTATACACAAACCGAGTAGACATCTTTAGATTTGCAGGAAAATGATAAGAAGCTTTGATGTATATACTATTATAATTTTGAAACAAGTATTTTATTAAGGAATTATAATTTGTTTCTGACAAAACAATATCCTAAAATTACCCCCCACCCCAGTTTTCTCAGTTTAATGCGTGTTAGAAAAAATTAAGATCGTCAACGGTAAACATATTTTAAAGTCATTTATCTGTCTGGCTCCATTATGCATATATAAACCCATTTCTCTCTCTCTCTCTCCCTATTTTTTCTTTTTTACATTATTGTTCGCTTTATCTATCACGGTTTATTATTGCTATTTACGTACTTCCATATAACATAGAGACTCTGTATGAACCCATCTCATCAGATGTTCGGATCCGGGTTGCAGTGATTGCCGGTTAAACCTCAGATTTTATAGGTAACTGAATATAAAACAGGAGCAGTTAATTGGAAGTCGTAGTATCTATTGAAAATTTTATAAACAGTGCCTGATACTTAATGCTCCTTTTCTCGCAGCAAAATCTAACTTTAGAAAGATTGTAAAGTACCGGTAACAACAGGTAAACCAGCCAATAAACCCAAGGGCATCTCATTAAGTCTTCAACAAAGAAGCACACTTGTTTACAATCCTTTTGATTTATTCAATAAAATATGTTCAAAACAAAACACTTTTGCATAATTGCGCAAAAAAAGATGGTGATGGTGGGAAGGGGGTTTCAAGTTGACCTGATACTTTTACTTTGTAATGGCCCCTTTTTGCTGTTTATTCAAACTTTCGTCGTTATGTGCAAAAAAGTGTTTTAAAATAAAACGAACATTCTTTTTAAAAATATTTCTTTTATGATAAGTTCAAATTGCAGAAAACGGATGAATTAATTAAACTTTTATTATTGCATTAGGAATTAAATTTCTGGTCAGCATCTCTAGATGTACATGTAGGTATATGAATTCAAAAAAAATATATGTAACATGTATTATTATCACTTTTTTGTCCTGCTTTTGTTTTGTTTCGAATCTTTTTTTTTATTTAAAATAAAAAGTTAATTCTAGCAATATCATTAATTCAGAAAAGCAATTTTTTCCCCCGTGCAGTCTGAACTATGAAGAAAGTAGACGGATAGGGTCTGTTGTTTAGAAGATGTAATAATCAAAAGTTGTACATACCTGTATAAAACATATACATGTATACACACATACAATGTATATTCTTTCTAAGTGCTTTTACAACAAATGGATTTTTTTTTTTACTTTACATCATAGGAAGGGGCTATACAATAACAAAAAAAAATGTTTAAATAATTTAACTCTTCGTTTTCTGTAGTTTGAACTACACGTAATCACAAGAAAAAATATCTTTAATTGCACAAGTGACAATTAAGATATGTTTTACGTTCAATATTGTAGATAAAAACAAAACGTAAAGGGTATCGTGGGCTCGAAAGTCCAAAACCTGTGGATAAGTTTCTATCATTAATGTAAGATAAGGGTTAATCTGAATTTAATTAATATCAAAGTAACTTGTACAGTACTACAAGGCTGTTGTGTAAAATGAAGCTTTATGAGGAATTTGCAAGGACACATTCAAATCAATTACTTTATCACGTCATACACCCAATTATATAGTAGATATTCAGTATTTACACTGTACTCCCAATTTTCTCAAGTTTGCAAACAAGATTAAACCTCGTTAATTTCGATATATACTAATACCGTTTGCGCGGCTTTTTGCGTATATTTGAAATGCCGTTCATCACATTGAAGGAGAATATGATAATAGATCGGTTAATTAGGTAGATAAATATTAAGAATAGTAGAAGGTTTACTCCGACGGCGGGTAATCGAAGCTTTACCTTCATCAGTTTACTACCTGGTGTATATATTATTCATTGACATGTGGCAAGAGCAAGTACCTTTTTATGAATATTGTCATAGCTATCTTTTTGAAAATCTATCGCCAGATAGTATAAAAAAGGAACATCCATTTATTTTATATTGATTTGATTGGAAACAATATTTTAATGCAATATAATTCAGGAAATATTTCTCAGAAAAGCATGAGATATTTGACCTTACAAAGTAAATAATTTATCCGTAGTGTTAATACGACCGTGTTCAGATAAAAATTACATGTCGCAAAAGAAAAATTCAGGCTTAAAATCAATAACCCCCGCCAAAAAATCGAGATAAAAAACACACAGGAAGAATATCTAAGCACCACCTGCAATTGATATAAAATCCGTTTAAGTGCAATCAGTCACTTTATGCATAAGAGTTTCAGAAAAATTGAGTGTATATGAACTACATGTATAGAATTTTGCAGAGTACATGGATAGATACGTCTTTCTATTTTTTTGGGGGGGGGGGGGGTGTCCAGGAATTTTGTTTAAAAAAGAACATGATAAATTAATCTGAAAGATGTATTTTTTGAATGGTTTACTTTTTACTATAAAATATTTTTAGATTTATTGTAAAACACAAAGCAAAACAAGAAAATTGCATTTAGCTGGGACGGATCCAAGATTTCAGAACACGGGGCTTCCTAGATCCAATGTTAGATCCTCCTTTGTTAAGTGATATATAAGTATTCTTTCATCTTTTATTAACTTTGGAACGTGGATCATTTGGTATTATATCTTGTCAATAAACCTTTCAATATCTCACCCTATCCTGCAAGGTAAACGGAAAACTGGACGGCTTTATGTTGTGGGTTCCAAGACGGCAGAGGGCGCGCTGGGAGACACAGGAATTTAATTGTCGAACTGATGGATTGATACGCGACTCTCTGCAAACTTGATTACCTGGAACTTAGTACTAAAATTAGGTATCTAAAATTCTAAACGTCCAAATTGTGTCAGCCAATGTTTCGCTGTTTATTTAAGTGCATTATTTCCTAATGCTGTGGTTTACCGTGTTTTCTTCCTTCAGAATCCTGATGTAGATAAACCTGCACTTGACTTGAATTAGTGGCCGTATCAATGTTGTATACAGTCCCCGTACAGGCTAAGCAACGCAGAGATCACACGAATTGAGCATTAACAATCTTGTCAGAGCACTCGAACCCGTCAACGACATTAACTAGCTAAATACGGGTCTGACCGAAGAGATTGAATATGTATAATCTTAAAAAATGTCTTTAATTTTTATAATGATATAAAAAAGATCGTATTAATCCAACTCTGTAACAAATAATCAATGTAATTTGAATTCGTTTTACCGCAATTTGTTTATTGCACTTACTAGTGTCTAATACAACTTAAACTTGTAGGGAGAGGGCTAAAATAGGCTTAGCCTGCTGCTCAGTCCTATTCACTTCTAGATCTGTGAATAAAATATTAAATTAACTTTGAAAACTTGCACTTTGTCAGATCAAAAAGTGTAAACTGCAATTCAACAGTTGGGCAATGAGAAATATCAGGATGCCACTAACATGGCAGGTCAAAATATATATCCCAAAGCTAAAATGTCTTTGTCATTTGAACCACATCTTACATTAAAGTTTGTACGGTTAATGAGGTAGATCAATTCCTGTACATGTCTTCTGTCTCTGTAGGAATATGCTGTTTGTAATTCATGGGTGTTTAAGCTTGCCATGCCTTTTCCTTATAGTAATATGGTAAACAAAACTGGAATTTCCGCGGGGAAAATCGTAACAATCCTTTTGGTTTTAGGAAAGGATTATTCATTTCCTCTCATTTTATTCACTTTTCAGCTTTTGAACAGAATACGAGCAATTTGAAATTTTGCCATTGCAAGCAATAACTTTTGTCACTCCGAACTGACCCCCAGCGGTGCAGTGCTGGAGTTTAAAGCAGAGGAGGCAACAATTTTGAAATTTAAAAAAAAAATGAAATTTTCTTCAGCTTTCATGGTATTTTGAAAATTTCAAGCCCTAGAAAGGGGGGGGGGGGCTTACACATCAGTATTACGCAGTTTAAAGTAGGTTAACGAAGAAATCAGAGTTAAAAAAAAAACTCACATTTTTGTTTCCTTGGCAACAATGACAAACATTATTCAACAGATTCCAATGTTTTTCAGAAACGACTTCGACATGTTTTAAAGAATAATCCTTTAATGTTCTAAAAAGATTGGGTGAACACTTACTGGGAAAATAAGAATTAATTAATAACTCGCTTGTTGTGAATTTGTTGTCGGGTGGCATAACGCGTTTATTGGTTTGTAGAGACGACTATAAAGTTATAAACGGGTAGGAGGTGGATAAATATACAGGTTGGTCATAGAATATGTCTAGAATTAGGGGCGAAAGGTCGTTGATTGACCAATGCTGGAAAGTGGCGAAATACATCCCAAAGCGCGCAGAAAATCTTGCGCCGTAAATTGCACTTTATTTGTAGCGTTATGGTCAAAGACTAAAATATAAAACCAGAACGCTACAGTTCTGCAGCTAAATGTGGGTATATCAAATGCACTCCCTGCTTTACTGTTACAATGTTTTCTTTTGTAGGTTTACATGTACATTTTACATGTGTTCAGTGCCTGCCAAGATGAAACCAACAACAGTTTCTATGGTGACGTCAGAGTGCGGCAAACCAACATCATCAATCTATGTTCATGGACCGGAAGGAAACAATGGCAATTTCACAGTCTGCGTCACTCCTCTCAACTTTAATTATAGCAAAGCATATGAATTAGTAGAAATGATTGAACTTAACAAGATTCTTGGTGCCTCCCATTTTGTTTTTTACAAGTATAGCATAAACAAAAATGTTGTCCGAGTTTTGGATTATTACAAGGATAAGGGTGTCGAGCTCATCCAATGGAATCTCCCAATGCAGGTCGACACGTGGCCAAAGAAGAACATTCCGGTGGAGATACATTACTTCGGCCAGTTAGGTGCTTTGAATGATTGTCTTTATAGAAATAGGTACAAATCCCCATTCGTTGTCTTTCAGGATCTTGACGAATTTATCATACCACGAAAGCACGCGAACTGGAGTGAGCTATTTGCAACTTTACCAAAAAACAAAGGATCGTACATGTTTCGAAATACCTTCTTCCGAAAAGACTGGCCCGACACAGATCTTAATTTCACTGGAAAACATATCGCTCAAAAATATAAGTTAGTGACCTTATTAAAACAGTTCAGGGAAAGTAAGATATTTCCTAGGAAGCATAGATCGAAATATATAGTTAACCCCCAAAACGTAGAGGCCCTTGGTATTCATTCCGTGAACCGTTTCCGGGGAGGAGGAGAGCACTTTGTAGAGCCAGGCGAGGCGTTAATGCATCACTATAGAGACTGGGAAAACCCCGGAGATAAGCAACCACGAACTAAAGATGACAGCATTCTAGTGTATAAAGATAAATTACTCAATAATGTACAACGAACATGGGGTAATCTAAAGGATGTACAATTAGGTCCATTACCATTTAGTTAACATCAACTCATTGTGTAAGAGAGAGAGAGAGAGACTGTACTGTGCCTTCACCAAAATATTGTAAATCTTGGTGCATGATAGACGGTTATCGATTGATAATTGATGTACATTTTGTGTTTTGTTGATTATGGAGAAATCTAAAGAATGATGTCTCTTTGTTTCATATAAAAAAAACCCAGTCTGAACCGAAAACCAATATTGTAATAATACTTGTGATAAATGTAGTAGTATCTCCGACGTCATTCACAACTCTCCAATTAACAGATGAGATTATGCTAAATTTTGTATGCAATATTTTGAACCATGTGAAGAAGTTGGTTTTTCAAACCCTAGTAACTCATTGTTAGGCTTTATACATGTTTAGCTTACCTGAGCCAAAAGCTTAGGTGAGCTTTTCTGATGAAAAAAAGAGTCTAGCGTCCGTCTGCCGTTTCCCTCTTCAGAATCACTCACCCAAATTCATTCAAACTTGGCACTAAGTTTCTGTGATGATGATCCATGCCTGTTCACATGGAGGGAAACGCTTTTCAAGGGTGGGATTTGAAATAAGTTCAGAAAATAGGGGTTTCTTTTAAATATTTTTTTTAGAACAAACCTGTTACAAAAGAAAAAAAAAGCAATATTAGAGTTTCCGTACTGAATGTAGATTCAAAGAATTTGTTTAACCTTGTGATAGGTTGGAACCACAACAGGTTAAAGTTTTATATAGCAATTCATTACGCAAGTGATTTAAGGCTAGGTATAGGCGTTTCTATGCAAATGAGCTAATAAAAATGCATAAGAGGTATATTTATTATACAGAGAAAGCTTAAATTCATTTTCTTATACATACTTAGTTCCCAAGGCATGTTATAGCTAGTGCACATTATGACGTCATATTATGACGTCATTGTTCTTTACTACTCAAAGTAATAAAACACATCAACAGACGGCTTTGGCGCAAGGGCATACCCTATTTAATTTTAAGTAAATAAAGTATAATTCTATGAAGAATACTCTAAAGATTAATAAAAGTGCTGCACAAATTCTATGCATTTTCTCGTTTGATAAAAATTTGAGGAAACTAATACTGGACTGTGAATTTTTACCCCATATCAACTCAAAACTTTACAAATAGTAACTAAACAATTAATTGGTCGACATTTGTGCAGCAATATCACAAATCCTTGTAATATTCTGCTTCTAATTATACCCTGTTTCTTTAAAAATAAATAGGTTATGCCCTTGCGCCCAAGCTTTTTTGTTGATGTTCTTTATAACTTTGTGTAGTAGAGAGCAATGACGTCATAATATGACGTCATAATGTGTACTGGCTCATTCGGCAAACCTCGGCTGATTCCGTCACCTTCATCAAACTGATGAGGTACGAATCGGCCGAGGTGTGCCGAGTGTGTACTGGCTATTACTTGTCGCGGGTACCAAGTTTTCATTAGAAAATAAGTTTTAACCTTTTCTGCATAATAATTATAGCCCTTATGCGTTTTAATTACTTTATTTTCATAGAAACGTCTATGCTTAGCCTTAACTCACTTGCGTAGGAAAAAATTAATAGTTTTCTCAAGAACAGCATGACCATTTGTCATTTAGTCATCTTGACATGCAAGCAAACAAGTACAAAGACAATTGTCAGGATGAGAATTGTGACGCAGGAGAGAGGTTTGTGCATCTTCATGCGATTGATTTGCATTTTTTAAGCGAAAATTTGGCCTTGCAATAAGAAATATTTTTATACATATCGTTATATGTTTCTGTTGGTGATTTTTTTGAATTACTCATAAAAATTACTATGCACAAATGTATTTTAAAATTTTAGATTTTTGAAACTAAAATGTACAACCATTGTTTAGTCCTGTTTCCGCTTAAAATCACATATTCAGAATGTTATCGTGTACGAGTTTACCGTTTCTGAAATGAACACCAGGAATTCCTTGATGCTAACGTTTTAAATTTTTCATTATATGGTGTTTTTATATTTCTGTGCCATCAACTGAAACATTATTTATCCATAGCATTTCTTATTAAATCCTCTATCGTGTATTTTCAGTCTAAAGAGTATGATAGAGATACATTTTAGAATTACTTTAAAAAATATAAAATGAAAATGTATATTTTTTAATAATGTACGTGGATTTTGATCGTTCATTTTGAAGATTTGTTCATATTCGCTAATTTTGTGTGCTTGTGTTCAGTGTGTGTTAATATTTGCCAGATGGTGGGGTGAGGTGTTGGGTGTGTAAGGGTGAGGTGTTGGGTGTGTAAGGAATTAAGTGTTTTACCCTATCCAGTTTTTCAACTGTTGATCGAAAATAGTGGACCTCTGTGTACATGAATTGAATGTTTGTCTTTGCTCAAGTTGTTTTCCATCCTGTTCATTCTAATTGTTATTAAATTATTTAATTTATTGACTTATTGAGTGTTATTGATCATTACAGTTTTAAGTTCCTCCTTTACTAATGGCAGCATTTGTTTTAAAAACTTAGAGATGAAACACCAATTTGCAAATTGATGAAACGGAATCGAGAAGTCGTCCTCACTGGTATCTGAGCTTAGGGTTAGGTTGTATCTGAGTTTAAGTCTAGGTTGTATCTGAGTCTACGGCTATAGGTTGAATTTTTTTGATCGCCAGAAATATGGCAGACCATGCGTGACAGCACCACAGGATCGCTTCATTGGTTCGTGTTATCTTCATCAACTTCCAAAATGACGTCGTCTACAGTATTAGCTTCCCCTGAACTGCACAGACTATCAAACAAGACCGTTTGCAATTGACTACGGGATGCTGGAATTGGAGCCGGGGGACTTATTATGCCATTGTTCTGACCCCACAATACCGCAAATATCGACTTCAAAGGTCTCAGACCAAGAGTATATATGGCCACAGTAACACCGCTGAATAGTTTGGTTTAGCGATGAGTCCAAAAGTTTTACAGCAAAGCCTGCATGATGGAAGAGCCAGAGCACATAAAAACTTCGTAGTGGTCGTTTTGCAGAAAACTGCCTCCGGGAGATGATAGATTTGGTGGTGGTAGTGTAATGATATGGACAACGGTATTGTATATAAACACGACTGATTAGTTCATGTTCAAAGGACTTTGACGACACAATGATACTCTGAATATGTCCAACCTGCGCAGGCAGCATTCTGGAGCCGTATTTCAATCTGAAAATGCACAAGCACGTACGGCTCGTTTGACAAGCGGATTCTTGTAAAACCACGACATCCTGTTCTGCCATAGCCATCTAAATCGCCAGATTTAAACCTCATTTAGCATGCATTGGGTAAAATGTATCTAGGCATATCCGCCAAAGACATCCGCATGCCCTGACTCTGCAACAGCTGACACAAGCTGTACATTTAGAGTGGGATAGCATTCCTATAGTTTTTAATACACTCATTTGGGTCCATTGGGATGAAGTTTATGGCTATCATTGGACCTTTTGGATTGTGCACCTTTTGTTTAGCATATTTCTTTGTTATCAGAACATCATTCTACAAAGTAACCTGTATGTCTTAATAAGTCGCTAAAATTTTACTTTGCGATTCTTTTTTTGAACAGCATATAATAAAATCTCTTTTATTTACGAGACCACATTTATCTGCACTCATCCTTGTGTCATCATAGCTTACGGAGAAAGATTAGGAGTTATATCAGGAATGGTTCCAACGTTCCCTACGCAACGCCTTATAGGGGAATTACATTGTATAAGAAAATGTTTGTTTTCACTGAAGAACAGCCATAATTTTTCTATTTACTTTATTCGGGGACGGCTAACCCTATATCCCGGCGTGGCTGTTCCAAATTACTGTTTCTGGAGCACGTCAATTCCCCACTTGGGGTTTAATTTAACATACTCGCTCTGGATGCAACAGTGTATTTTAAAAGAATGGTATCCCATTGGGCAAAATTACTGATAAGTCCTGAAAATAAGATTGTATGTATTATATATACTGGTATGTATTTATTTGAGCTGTTTCTTACAGGAAGTTAAAAGAACCCTTGAAATTTGTTTTTCTCCAACAATGAAACCTCAGCCGAACATTACTTTAAAAACTCTTGACCATACATAGGAACTCTAGAACTCTATAACATAGGTACTCTAGAACTCTATAACATAGGTACTCTAGAACGCTATAACATAGGTACTCTAGAACTCTATACCATAGGTACTCTAGAACTCTATACCATAGGGTACTCTAGAACTATATTCCATAGGTACTCTAGAACTCTATACCATAGGTACTCTAGAACTCTATACCATAGGTACTCTAGAACTCTATACCATAGTAACTCTAGGACTCTATACCATAGGTACTCTAGAACTCTATACCATAGGGTACTCTAGAACTATATTCCAATGGTACTATAGAACTCTAAAACATAGGAACTCTAGAACTCTGGAACATAGGTACTCTAGAACTCTATACCATAGGAACTATAGAACTCTATACCATAGGAACTCTAGAACTCTATAACATAGGTACTCTAGAACTCTATAACATAGGTACTCTAGAACTCTATACCATAGGAACTCTTGAACTCTATACCATAGGTACTCTAGAACTCTATAACATAGGGTACTCTAGAACTCTCTAAAATGGGTACTCCCGAACTCTATACCATAAGAACTCTAGAACTCTATAACATAGGTACTCTAGAACCCTATACCATAGGTACTCTAGAACTCTATACCAAATAGGTACTCTAGAACTCCCTTACAAAGGGTACTCTATAACCCTATACCATAGGTACTGTAGAACTTTATACCATAGGTACTCTAGAAATCTAAAACATAGGTACTCTGGAACTCTATACCATAGGTACTCTAGAACCCTATACCTTAGGTACTCTAAACATAGGGTACTCTAGAACCCTATACCATAGGTACTCTAGAACTCTGCAACATAGGTAATCTAGAACTCTACACCATAAATACTTTAAAACTCTATGCCATAGGTACTCTAGAACTTCATACAATAGATTTGCAGATTGGCAGAAAGGCATTCCAAGGCTATTATTAAAATTATCCCAATCCTAAGCAGGAAAAAATACAATATTTACTATCCAATGTGCCATTTTTTAAATTAGTACTAATATAAGTTGACAAAACTCTTACAAATACAATGTACAATCATCTAGTGTATGATTAAAATTCAAATGTAATGTATAATCATACAATGTATTTGATTAAAACACTAACTTGATTTATAAAATGGAAAATGGAAAGTAGAAAAAGCCTGAACACTGGCGTTTTGTCGAACACAAGATTCAAAATGTTAACAATAAGCGGAAAGGGGAGACTAAATTACTCTGACTCGACATCTGGCAACGTGTTTGGTTGCCTTGAATTCACTCTAGAAATGATGCCATTTTTATTATCTGTTATACACTTGTCCAATTAAATAAGGACATTACATGTACATTCAAGAAAATATCAATTGCTACGATAAAGACATGTAAAATGCGACCTGATCCAATATTAATTGCAGCGGTAAATGTTAATCTTGCTGAAAAAGAGTAATTGGCAAATACGACTGACATTCTGAAAATATTTGCAAAACCACTCTATGATTCTCACTATAAGGCGAGCAATAATTAAATATTGATTAACCATTTGCATATTAGATGCCGCTTAGGACAGTAAAAGAAAACATTCAGTGAACCAGTAATAAATATAAATTAAAACTTCAGAAGAGGTAAACTAATCCCAATTATAAACAAGCAAATTTAGAAAAGTGTGCCCCCGCTTATGAGAAAAAGATGGGGGAGATAGAAATGGAAATGTTTTGCAGATGGAGAAAGAAATTATATAGATAATATTACAACGAAGAATTCTTTATTTTAAAAACTTTTTAAGAAAATTATAATTATCATCTTTGTGTTCTACAGGCTTTTGGATCCGTTACATCCGTTTTGGACCCGAGTAATTTTCCAATCGATATATTTCTACGCAGCCGTCGGCATGTAAATTTCCTGCACAATTTATCGAGTTAGCTAATTAATGCGTATGTACATGAAAATTAGCAAGTGTATCACTAAAAATGAATTATAAACATTTTTTAAAGTTCATTTCTCGATCAACAAACCATTTATATAGTCAATCGTATAATAGATTTGGTTGCTTATTCTTTAAAAGTGTACAGAAGATTCTTTTTATATAAAATATTCATCATATTGTAATGATGATTTTATGAGAACGTTTGTACATGACATACATGTGTTTGAATGAAATTGGGCGCGGATCCAAATACTTCAAATTATAGATGTTATGTACATGCACAGGGTTCTCCACAAGGGGTTTTACCATGGCGGCCCGCCATGGTTAAATTTATGTGCGCCATGGTTAAACGAGCTGCGCCATGGTTAAAATCGGCGGCCGCCATGATTAAATTTTTATTGCATATTAGTATGTACACCTACTTTTTAATGACTTGAGTAGTTAAATGTGTTTATACTACGACTGCCATGCATCTCGCATGCCTCGAGGGAAAGTAGACTGTGCTAAATAAACACGGCCGCTGATCGGTGACTATGCTGTGAAGCGTGACAATGGAGAGTCAATCAGCTGATGATCAATATCTTGTGAATTAATTATCCTGTACACATACATGTAATTTTGGGAAATTCCAACGTGTTCACTATACGGTAACAGATTTACAAAAAATGACACGAGCAGTAATTAACAACATGATAATCAACAAGCATCCGATTTCTATGCCCAGAAAAAAATGAGCCCTTTCAAAATTTCCTATTCTTTGTATTTAGGCCTAATCAATTCCTCATGCTTTGTTTTTAAGTACCGGTATTAACTTTATTAGTTTTCTGATAAAATGAACGTAAGTGCCAATCGTTGTCTTAGTTTTAGAGTTACCTCCCGTTTTTATGAAACGTCGCGTGGCGCTATTTTTAGCACTGGGGCACGTGGAGGAATGAACAATAGAGGAAACTCGGCGAAAATGCAATATGTAGAAAAAAAGAACGCATATATTTTATGCTTCATATTGTCACGAACGATTGAGAGGCTTCAAAAGTTTTTTTTCTTTACCGTTGACTAATATTTTTTTTTAGAATCACCACGACATAATCATGATATGGGCACCAGCATGTATAAAAACTTTCTGTATGTGATAAACTTATAGGTAAAAAAAAAGGAAAAAAATTGTCATGTCATAATTTTTCTGCAATTCACAATTTCTTCATAATTTGAAGGGAAAAAATATTCATAATGCTTCATGACGGCAACTTAAAGAAACTTAGAAGAAAAATAATTGTACAGGTCCCTGTGTTCTTATCTGTTGGACATTGATCTTCAGTAAAGTGACCTTAAATCATTCTTTAGGCCTGTCACTAACCTACTTTTGCAGTCTATATACTCAGTATTGAACATTATTCAGGATTATGTAAAT